CCCAATTTCCTAAATCAAGACTTCTGGAATAGAAGATGATTTGAATGGTGTGAGCCTTTAAATTGCCTTGATATTCCTATAAGCTAAGAAGAAAAGTTTTTAAATTCTTCAAGGTTGCAAGGTATTTCTTAGTTACAAATTCATGGCAACATATCTCTAGCTTTCTGAAAGTTCTAATTCATGGCAACTTGTATTTCTGACTTTTTAAGTTAAATTCCAAAATAAGCCATAGATGCAGTTTTGTTTCCAAGAAAGTCACTTGTTCTTCCCCAGCACATAGAAAGGTGGTCAAATGTTTTCAGGTCACATTCAGTAGACAAGTGAAGTTATGTTGAGATATTTCATCATAATAAACTACATATAACCCTTTTATCACTGAGGAAGAACAAAATAGGAAATGAAATTTTTGCTTTGTGAGCTAGAGTTCAACTTAATATTTTGCATTAAAGCTCTATTATTTTATTGGCATTTAGGGGATGGGGTAGGAGGTAGGAAGGAAACCCTACTGATTTTCCTCAATAGATAATGTCATAGATTGTGTTTCTCTACAATTGCTGATATTACAAGGTTTAGCAACAGCTATTCATTTAGGGCTGTCAACATAATTGTTTTTTAATAGAAAATTATAAATCAATATAGGAAAAAATAAACATGATTTCCATATTTTTAAAAAATATATATATTTTTTTATTGATTTCAGAGAGAAGGGGAGAGGGAGAGAGAGAAACATCAGTGATGAGAGAAAATCATTGATCAGCTGCCTCCCCCATGCCTCCTCCTGGGGATGTAGTACGCAACCCTGGCTGGGAATCAAACCATGACCTCCTGGTTCATGGGTTGATGCTCAACCACTGAACAACATCGGCCTAGTGCCAAACATATTTTACCTAACTGCCCTTGAGATACAAAATGTTCTGTAAATGCCATTAGCATTTCTTCAAGTAATCATTCTCAAGGATTATAAAATAGTATATTAAACATTAGAAACACTTGAATTCTCTACTCTTTTTTATTTACATGATGAGTGCTTGCTTTTGTTCTCTAAATTTATTTATGTTCTGCCTGAAATATTATATTTTTGTAGTCATCTGCTTCACTAGTAGAAACATATCTGATTGTCATGGGAATTACTGGTTCAGATTTGGGCAAAAAAAGAAAATCTGTGTAGAAAGAAAATTGTTCACTTGCTATTTTAATGATTAAGATAATAATTTAAGAGAGTGTTTGTACCTTTAACATTATAGCTTGTTCCTTTTTTAAAAAATAAATACCAAAATCTGTCTTCACTGACATAGCTTGTCTTTTATCAGAATATGCTCTTCCAATTCTAAGTTTATACTGACCCCTATAGGTTATTACGTTCTAATTTATTTCTGGGTTATTCTTACAGAACATAAGTTGAACAATATTTAATTATGTTTACAGTTAGAATTTAATTATTTTAGGAGTAAAGCCATAAAATACTCTTTATAGGCCCTTTCTCTCCTTATATTGTACAACATTAACTATGCACAAATTTCAGCCATCCTAATTTAAGACAATTTATTTTGGGGATCCAAGATGTTTTAAACCACATCAGTTTCAATGTTGGGCTATTGAGGACAGGGAAAATAAGAAGCATAATTTCTAACTGACATGCTTTCTGATTAACCTGATTATTTTCCTCAAAATCTGTTATATTCTCACAAGTTTCCTAGCTATAGTCCATTAAGAAATCAACTTTAAAGTTTATGCAGAGATGTATATAAAAGCAGAAAAGACTTAGGACCAAAGTAAGTCTGATTTTAGCTAAACTGGGTGGAGGGACACTGATTCTAGGTTAAACAGGGATCTTTTAATGTGGCGTGCAAGATTCTACATCGTTTCCTTATGGATATGGATGAGGAGTTACAGGAGAGGGTGAAAGGCTACAGACTACTCACTTCTGGGCAGAGGCACTTCCAGGAACAAGTAGTGGGCAAGGACTGGTCTCAGCAATACAGAAAGGAGCACGACCCCAGCAACCAGCCAAGGTGTCAGTGAAAATTTACCTACGCAACAGGAACTCTATACATGTCATATGCTTCCTAAAACTGCCAATCTTGCCTGAGATATAGAACTGATTCCTTCCTAGTCTACTCCTAGAGTAGCTCAGGAGTAAATGTGTGGTAGCTACAAAAGGCCCAATGCCATGAACTCCAGATGTTGGTTCCATATTACTCTATAATCACAAACCCTTCATGAAGAGTAGAGCGTTATTCCAAGGTGTTGGTAACCAGCTTTTAGAAAGATACTTCATTATTCACACTTGTTCTGTAGAAAAACACCAGCCGTGGACTATGCTATGTGAATTCAATATGGAGCCCAGGCTACGATCATTTTTCTTAAACCTGTACTTTAATATGAGAATTGGGGATAATAGAAATGATCTCCTTACTGATCAGACAGTAATTTCCAGAGTATTATAAAGCAGAGCTGTGTTTTGACCTTTCTTTGACTTGAAGCCATAGAAAATATAAAGCTAAATATTTTCTTGTACATCGAAGATACAGTTTTATTGGCATAGGGGTAAGTAGTGAACCGAAATTATTTATTTGGGTATAGATGTTCTCACAAAACTTATGAGAGTGATAATCAAGTCTATATTTCAAAGTAATTTATTTAGTTTTATAAGGGTAAATTTTGTGCCTAAATCATCCTGGGGATTATATTGGTTTAAATTGACTTTTATGGATGCATTATTGAATTTTTTACTATTATCAGAATAAGCTTGATAATCTTGCTTTATATTTTTTCTCCAGCTCTATTTGGGAGCTTTGATTCTTTGTTTAACCATGTGTGAGAATGAACCCAGACTGTCTTGAGGAAAACCTTAAGCCTGTCTGTAGTATTCCAGAATTCTCTCAGCCCACTCTGTGCATGTCTATTCGGACTTGTGTCTTCTTGGTCATACTCATGGATTTTCCTAAGAAACTATTAATTTTGTATTTATTTGTTGGACTAGTATACTGTTTTGTTTACCATTGAATCCTTAGTACCTGAGGCCTAAGCACCAAATAATCAGTAGGAGGTAATTTTGTGTTGCAATAAAAGATGCTGTTACTGTAATTTTATAAATTTAAAGGTATTGAGTGTGCAAACTTCTTTTAATATCTTAATAGGATAAGAAATTAAAATGCATGTCAACAGCATATGAAAGGCGCGCCGCCCGCCTCTCCGGGCGGTGCGGGAGGAGGAGTCTGGCCTCTGGGCTCTGGGATCCCTCCTCGGCCGCCGGCCTCCCCGGAGCGGGTCCGAGTGTCCGGACCGGCTGCGTGGTGGCCGGCGGCGGCGGGCCGAGGGGTGGGGCTGGGCGGCAACCGACCGCGGGGGAGGTCATGGGAGCGGAAGGCCTCACCGCCTGGCTCTTCCCTCCCTTCCCCCGTGGTCGGCTCCCCGCTTGCCCGCGCTGGGGCCGGGGGTCCATGCAGCCCTTGGGGCCCGGTCGGGGGGGCCGGGGCCTGCGTGGGCCAGCCGCTGGGCCCCATGGGGGGGGGGCATCGGCTCCCCAGCCCACGGCGGGAGCCCGGCGTGGGCTGCCACCCGCCCGCTGCCCCCCCGGACCGGGCCCAGTGCAGCAGCGGCGGCAGCGGAGTGGGGCGCGTGCCCTAGCTCGGGGAGGCCGCCATGCTGCAGTGCACCGGCCCCATGGCCGGGCCTGCTCGGAGCGGATGCTGCTCCTCCAGAGCTGGGCCACTCCACCGGCCGCACCCCGTTTGCTGGGCCTGTGCCGCCCAGACGCGCTGGAGTCCCAGTCTGCCCGCAGGCCAGCTGCGGGTGCTGTGCGGGGGGCCATCCTGCCTTGTGGCGAGTTCGAGTGGCAGCAGCAGGAGCCGGGCAAGGACTGCGCCCTCCATCTTGCCTTGGGTCCTCCATCTTGGGACAGAGCCATGTGCGCCTTCCATCTTGCCTTGGGTCCTCCATTTTGGGACGGTACCATGTGCTTCCTCACGGGAAGAAGCCGCTACTAGCCACACCCAGGATTTCTCTGGACTAACCAATAATAATCAAGGGAAGTGCACGCCATCACTATGACCGACTTGCGCCTGGCCAATCAGCAGGGCCCACAGTCCCCTCTCCTGCCCTCACTCCACCCCCCTTTAAAACCCCCTGTCACATCAGGCGTCTCTCTCTCTCGGCCACTGGAGCTTACCGTTGCATTGGTGAGTGTGGCAGGGGAGCCAAACCTAGGTTTGAAATAAATGACTCTTTGCTTTTGCATCGGACTGACTGGCTCCCTGGGGGTCTTGGGAACTTTGAATTCTGGGCACAACACATACAGACAGAAGTGATACACCCAAATGAATGGAAATATCACAATAAAACTTGTCCCAGGCAGTGGGCTGCAGGAATAAACTTAGAGGTAAGGGGGGAGGAGGCACAATAGTGGAAAAAAAACACACCAAAAACGAGAACTAAGTGGAGGTAGGAGGGATGAACATGGAGAAAGATAAATTAATCCTCTCAAATCAGGAAGAGGTTTCTCTAAACGAGGAGGGAAAACAGCCACCACAACCCCAGTTCCACCCTTTACTAACACTCAAATAAAAAGTAAGTAAAGGTGAGTCTTCCTCACATTGCCTTCTTAATTTGAGAAGCTACAGTCCGCCCTGCATTAGCCAGACGCTATCAACCTGGGGCATTATTATTATTAATAATTTTAAAATCTATTTTTATTGATTTTAGAGAGAGGGAGAGGGAGAGATAGAAACATCATGTAAGGGAATCCCTCTACCGGGGATGGGAGTGGAGCCCCGACCTTTCAGTCTACCGGCCGACGCGCTACCCACTGAGCAAGCTGGCCAGGGCTCGGGCCGGGAATTAGAACGCTCCCCTGGGAAGAGTCGGCCGGGTCCCAGGGTTGCGCATGCGCAGCCTCAGCACCGCGCCCTTCCCGGCCTCCCCCACCCCGCGCGGCAGAGGACGTGATGCCGGGAGGGCGGGGCGCTCTGCGCCGGAAGTGGCTCGCAGATCGTAAATAAGCCCGCAAAACCGGGCGAGGCGCTGTCTCCATTTTGTTGGCATTTGCCGTCCCGGCGACGCGTCGGCCATGGGGAGCGTCCTGGGGCTGTGCTCCATGGCGAGCTGGGTAAGGCGGCGTGGGCGGCCTCCGGGGGCCGGCGTGGGGGGCGGGGGAAGGGATTTGGGGGCCGCGGGAGGACCGGCGGGGACGTGGCGCCCCTCCCAGCAGGGAGCGCCTGCCTCCCCGTTTCCCTCGCTCTTTCCCCGGGTCACTCCGACTCGGCGTCGGGCCCGGGTGGCCGCGGGGGACAGCGGAGATGGGAGGGCGACTCCGATGGAGCAGTGCAGCGAGCTGAGCCCCCCCCCCCCGCCCCCGTCTTTGTGGAAGGCCGCTCCCCGTTCCTCCAGGCCCCCTTCCGTCGCTTTCCTGTCTGCCCGGGCCCTGGGCCCTGGGCCCTCGCCGCGCAGACCCGAGGCCCTTCCCGCCCGAGCGCTCCGTCTCCGCGCCCCCCTCCCCGCATCCCTGCCCGCGCCCCCCTCCCCGCCCCCCTGCCCGCGCCCCCGGACTGCGGCACCGCCCTCCCCGGGCCGCCCGCCTCTTTGTTCTGCGCTCAGGCGGAGCTGCCCGCCATCGGGGCAGCCAGGCTGTGATGATGGCACAGGAATAGCGTTTTGAAATAAGTAGCCCTATCGTGCGACGCAGTCCTATCATGCGGCCGGGCCCTGTAGGAAGAAATGGCTCTACGTGCTTCCCAGGCGACTTGGGCATCTGGAAAAGCGGCCCGTTCTGCAGGGTTCAGCGCCCTGCGTCTTTTGACGCCGAGCATGCCGGTGTCACCTGAAATTTATTATGCGCACTCTGCGTTTTGATGAGGTAGCGTTAAGAACAAAACCATTTTTTATTTTAATGGCAAGATTTCTTGATCTGGGTGGTACAAATAAACTTTAGTTTAAAATAACCACACTCTCCCAAATAAAAAGTAAAACATTGATATTACAGTTAATAAGGATATTTGTAGTTTGGGGTGAGATATTTGGATTCAAATCATGTTTCTTTAATCTATGAGCTCTAATTTCCACTTCTAACAATTGCTTGTCTGACTTCTCAGATTACTTCATTATCTACATTAGCATTTTATTTTGCATTTTCCCCCCAAAAAGTTCTTAATATGGCTTGAATTATAAATGTTAAATTGTAATAAAACAGTAAGTGGAGGTTGTAACTCCAACTCAGGTCGTTCTTGTAATTGGACAGGGAAACTAGGTATATGTATTTTTAATCTGAGTTACGGAATTTACTTGCATTTGTTGACTTTTATACGAGAAAAATATTTAGTGTAATAAATAAAATGTATTACAAAATAATAAATGATTATTATAAGACTGGGTTTTTTTTGGTGGGGGGGGGATATAGTGTAATTTGGTTCACAAAGTTAGATTTTGTCCAGTTATCAAGTGGGCATTTTTTGTATTTAGTAAAGCTTTAAAAGGAGGGGTAGATGTTTTCCATTTTGTTCTCTCCCAGATCAGTGATGAGCAAACTTGACCTAAAGGACAATTACAGGTTACAGAAAAAAGTTTTAAGGATTCCTTATGTGAATGTGTTTTAAGTCAGAAAGATAGCAGTTTTAGTGAACAATGTGGGGAAAATGATATTCCTATATATGTTTTTAAAATTCAGTTTTCCACCTTTATTGACTACAAACAATACTGTGATAGAATTGATAACTGCCTTTCCAAGGTACATAGGAAAGAGAGAGACAAAGAGGCAGTTTTCTTATCTTCTAGTGATTAGATCTCTGGCAGATGAAGAAGTTAGGTGGCCAAGGTTATTCATGGTTCCAGGTTATTGTGGCCAGTCAGTCTAGGAATGTATTCTACAGTATGCAGTTCCGATCATCTCGTCCCTTTCCTTCCTGGTGCCCTTGTCTCTCTCTTCCTGAAGAGTTGTAGTTGCAGTTCCACAGCAGTTAAAGGAGAATTTGCCTTTGAATATACACACCCATTTCTTCCGTAGTCTTAACAGTCAGTATGCTCATTTACCTAGAGGTTTTGACAAATTTAAAATTTATTCAAATTTTAAAAATATTCACGTCATTAAATTAGATCAGTTAAGTAAAAATCCCTTTTTCATTCTACTGGTGTTTCTAAAGGGAACATGAATAAATTCATATATTCAGCCTGCCATCTTTAACCAGAATCCCTCTGTATTACTTTTTTATATGTGGCCATTATGTTTTATGACCATAATGGCCACAGTTGCTTAGTTTTTGCATTAAACTAGTCATTGTTAAAGTGTGTTCCTAGACCCAGTAGCATCACCAGACTGGGAAACTTATTGGAAACATTGTCTAAGGCTCAGCATCCTGTTTTAATAATCCCTCTCCACCTAAGTGAATTCAAAGCTAAAAAGCATACCTTTTTACCATGGCTTCTCCCCAATTTTTGAAAAACTTTAATGTCATCTAATTAACCAAATTTTGTCATACAAAATTTTCAAAAAGGATCATGGATGCTGTAATCCCTGAATTCTTCATATTTAAAAATGTCTGTTAAATTCTTGAGAGACATTGTGGATTGGTATAATGTACCGTTAACCCCGAACAAGGGGGGATGGTTAGGGGCACTGACCCCCATGCAGTTGAAAATCCAAGTATGACTTTGATTCCCCTAAAACTTAACTACCCTTGGTATCTGAAGGGGTTTGGTTCCAGGACCCCTGCAGATACCAAACTTGATGGGTGCTCAAGTCCCCTGTATAAAATGTGAGTAAATACATGTAGTCAGCCCTTCCCATCCTTGGACTCCCAGCTGCAGATTAAAAATAGTATCAGGTACTTATTGAAAAGAATCCACATATGTGGACCAACACAGATCAAACCCATGTTGTTCAAGGGCCAACTGTACACTAATAAGTACTTTTTTCATGTGCTTATTGGCTATCCATATATTTTCTTTTTTTTCTAATTAAGTTTGATAATTCCTTATATTATGGATATAAATGAGTTATCAGGTACTTGATTTGTAAATATTACCTTTAAGTCTGTGGCTTGTCTTTGCATTCTCTTAATGCTGCCTTTTAAAGATAAGTTCTTAATGATGAGGCCCAATTTATCAATTTTCTTTTTTTGTGGGTCACACTTAATTTTGATAAGCATTTTGTAAGTCCTTTGGGATCTCCATGTAGAGGATTATGTGTGAATGGAGGCACTTTTATTTCTTACTTTCCAGTGTATATATTTTGCCTTTCTTTTTCTTGCCTTGTTATATTGGCTAGGACCTCCAGTGTGAAGTTGAATTCAAGTGGTGAGAACAGTTATCCTTGCCTTGTTTTGGATCTTAGGGGAAATCATTCAAATTTTCACTATGAAGTTTGGATGGCTATGAATTTTTCGTAAATGCTCTTTATCAAGTTGAGGATATGCTACTCTTTGTTAGATGAAAGCTGTATTTGTTTATCATGGAAACTGAATTTTGTAAAATATTTTTTTCTAAAATATTTTTTCTGTATCCATTGAGATGATCATTGTGTGTGTGTGTGTGTGTCTGTCTGTCTGTTTAGTCTGTTAATGTGAATTGCATTGGTCAGTTTTCAAATGCGTTTCCCTACTACATCCCATCTGATCAGTGTGTTATCATTTTTATATACTTTTGTTAAAGATTATGTTTTAGAATAGTTGTAGTTTCACAGAAATATTGAAAGGAAGATACAGAGATTTCTCATATATTCCCTGTCCCCATGCATATATAGCACTCCTGATTATCAACATTTTTTACCAGGGTGGTACATTTTTTACAATTAATGAACTTACATTGACAGTTTATAATCATCCAAAGTCTGTAGTTTACATAAGGGTTAACATTTGCTGTTGGACATTCTGTGGGTTTTGGGCAAATATATAATGACATATATCCACCATTATAGGAGCATACAAAATAGATATATTGCCCTAAAAATCCTCCTTGACTTGCCTATTCATCCCTTCACCTACTCCCAACCCCTGATTTTTTTTTTTTTACTGTCTCCTGTTTTTTCCCTTTTCTTGAATATCATACAGTGGCAATCATATAGTATGTAGTCTTTTCAGATTGGTTTCTCTTATTTAGTAATATCCTCTTAAGATTTCTTCATGTCTTTTCATGGCTTGATAGTATTTTTTTTTAGCACTGATTAATATTCCGTTGTCTGGATGTGCCACATTTTATTTGTTCATTTCCTTACTGAAGTACATCTTGGTTACTTTCAAGTTTGGGCAATTATGAATAAAGCTGCTATAAACATAGGTATGGGAGGCTAGTTCAATGGAAAATCAATTAATGTAATCCATCACATCAGCAAGTTTTTAAAAGTCACATGATCATGTCAGTAGATGCAGAAAACACATTTGACAAAATTCATACCCTTGTTCATGAGGAAAACTCCCAGTAAATTAGAAGTAGAGGGAACTTCTTCAACATGATAAAGAATATCAACAAAATCCCTACAGCTAACATTATACTTAATGGTAAGAAACTAAAATCTTTCTCAGTAGAATCAGGTGCAAGGCAAGAATGTTTCCTCTCACCACTTCTTTTTAACATTGTCCTGGAAGTTCTAGCTAGTGCAATACGACAAGAAAAGGAAATCCTATCTAATAAAAGAGAAACATGGTAATTGGCGTACAACCGCTACCCTTCCCATTGGCTAATCAGGGAAATATGCAAATTAACTGCCAGCCAAGATGGCGGCCGGCAGCCAGGCAGCTTGAAACTAACATGAGGCTTGCTTGCTTCAGTGACGGAGGACTCCAACATTCCCCGCCTGCTGCTGCAGGCCTCTGAGCTGCAAGCAACTATGTAACAAACAGAAGCTAAACAAAACCCCAGAAACCTGCTTTAGTCCACCAGGCTTCAGCCAGCAGGATCGCAACATTGTAAGCAAAGGCCAGAAACCTACTTTCAGCAGCGGAGGCCTAAGAGCCAGAGCCAAGCCTCAAAGCTAAAGCTGGCCCAGAATAAAAAAAAAAAAAAGAAAAGAAAAAAAGGAGCAGTTGGGAGCTTCAGTCACCCCCAGCCTGAAAACAGCCCTCAGCTCCTCACCCAGACTGGCCAGGCACCCCAGTGGGGACCCCCACCCTGAAGGGTGTGTGACCAGCTGCAAACAGCCATCATCCCCTCACCCAGGCTGGCCAGGCACCCCAGTGGGGACCCCCACCCTGATCCAGGACACCCTTCAGGGCAAACCAGCTGGCACCCACCCATGCACCAGGCCTCTACCCTATATAGTAAAAGGGTAATATGCCTCCCAGCACAAGGATCAGTGGAGCCGCGAGGCCTTCCGGCACTGGGATCAGAGTGACAGGGGGCAGCGCCCCAACCCCCTGATCGCCCTGTGGCTCTGTGTGTGACAGGTTGCGGCGCCCCAACCCCCCCCCCCCCCCCCCACGGGCCCTGCTCTGTGTGTGATGGGGTAGAGCCATAACCTCCCCCATCGGCCCTGCCCTGAGTGTGAGAGTGGCGGCACCCCAACCCCCTGATCGGCCCTGCTCTGTGGGTGATAGAGGGCGGCGCCCCAACCCCCTGATGGGCCCTGCTCTGTGCGTGACAGGGGGCTGCACCCCAACCCCCTGATTGGCCCTGCTCTGTGCGTGACAGGGTACAGAGCCCCAACCCCCCTGATGGGCCCTGCTCTGTGAGTGACAGGGGGTGGCGCTGCAACCTCCCCATTAACCCTACCTTGAGTGTGACAGGGGATGGTGCCCCAACCTCCCGATCGCCCTGCTCTGTGTATGACAGGGGGCGGCACCCCAACTCCCCAATCGGCCCTGCTCTGAGCCCGACCAGGGGCTGCACCTAGGGATTGGGCCTGCCTCTGCCACCCGGGAGCAGGCCTAAGCCAGCAGGTCGTTATCTCCCAAGGGTTCCAGACTGCGAGAGGGCACAGGCCAGGCGGAGGAACCCCCCCTTCCCCCCGAGTGCACAAAAATTTGTGCACTGGGCCTCTAGTAAAAGATAAAAGGTATACAGATTCACAGGTGACATTATCATCTATGAAGAAAATCCAAAAGAATCGAGATAAAAAACCGGATCTCCTAAGCAATCATAGCAAGGTTGCAGTATATCAGGCTAATATATAAAAGTATATCACTTTTCTATATACCAGCAATTAAAATGTGGTATTTGAAATTAAAAACGCAGTACCATTTACATTAGCATCCAAAAAAACTCCCCAAAACTGAAATACTTAGGTATAAATCTTGTAAGTACTTAGATACTTGCAAGATCAATATAAGGAAAACTACAAAACTCTGATGAGCAAAGTTTAAATGGACAGATACTCCATGTTCATCCTATCTAATAAAAGAGAAACATGGTAATTGGCGTACGACCGCTACCCTTCCCATTGGCTAATCAGCGAGATATGCAAATTAACTGTCAGCCAAGATGGCCGCCGGCAGCCAGGCAGCTTGAAACTAACATGAGGCTTGCTTGCTTCAGTGACGGAGGACTCCAATGTTCCCCGCCTGCCTTGCAGGCCTCTGAGCCCGCAGTTTCAAACTAACAAATATAGACGCTAAACAAAACCCCAGAAACCAGCTTTCAGCCGGCTGGGATCTCAGAGCTGGAGTTGATACAGAGTTTCGATGATAGAACTGAAACAAACCAGATACCTGCTTTCAGGAGCGGAGGCCTAAGAGCTGGAGCCTCAGAGCTAAAGCTGGCCCAGAATTAAAAAAAAGAAAAAAAGGAGCAGTTGGGAGCTTCAGTCCCAGCCTGAAAACAGCCCTCAGCCCCTCCCCGAGACTGGCCAGGCACCTCAGTGGGGACCCCCACCCTGAAGGGTGTGTGACCAGCTGCAAACAGCCATCATCCCCTCATCCAAGCTGGCCAGGCACCCCAGTGGGGACCCCCACCCTGATCCAGGACACCCTTCAGGGCAAACCAGCCAGCCCCCACCATGCACCAGGCCTCTATCCTATATAGTAAAAGGGTAATATGCCTCCCAGCACTGGGATCAGCGGAGCTGAGAGGCCTCCCGGCACCTGGATTAGCGTGACAGGGGGCAGCACCCAAACCCCCTGATCGCCCTGCGGCTGTGTGTGTGACAGGGTGCGGCACCCCAACCCCCTGATCGCCCTGTGGCTCTGTGTGTGACGGGGCGGGACCACAACCTCCCTATCGTCCCTGCTCTGTTCATGACAGGTGAAGACGCCCCAACCCCCTGATCGGCCCTGCTCTGTGCCTGATAGGGGGGAGCTCCCCAAACCCCTGATCACCCTGCGGCTCTGTGTGTGACAGGGTGCGACGCCCCAACCCCCTCACCCCACGGGCCCTGCTCTGTGACGGGGTAGAGCCATAACCTCCCCATCAGCCCTGCCCTGAGTGTGAGAGTGGCGGCGCCCCCACCCCCTGATCGGCCCTGCTCTGTGGGTGATAGAGGGCGGTGCCCCAACCCCCTGATCCGCCCTGCTGTGTGTGACAGGGCTTTGCTCCAACTCCCCTATCGGCCCTACTTTGTGAGTGACAGGGGGGAGCTCCTCAACCCCCTGATGGGCCCTGCTCTGTGCGTGACAGGGGGGGAGCTCCCCCACCCCCTGATCGGCCCTGCTCTGTGTTTGACAGGGTACGGAGCCCCAACCCCCCTGAAGGGCCCTGCTCTGTGCATGACAGGGGGTGAGCGCCCCAACCCCCTGATTGGCCCTGCTCTGTGCGTGACGGGGTGGCGCCACAACCTCCCCATCGACCCTGCCTTGAGTGTGACGGGGCAGTTCCCCAACCCCCCAATTGGCCCTACCCTGAGTGTGACTGAGGGTGGCATCGCAACCTCCCAATCTGCCCTGCTCTGTGCATGACGGGGCGGCGCCCCAACTCCCCAATCGGCCCTGCTCTGAGCCCAACCAGGGGCTGCACCTAGGGATTGGGCCTGCCCTCTGCCACCTGGGAGCAGGCCTAAGCCAGCAGGTCGTTATCTCCCAAGGGGTCCTAGACTGCGAGAGGGCACAGGCCGGGCTGAGGGACCCTCCCCTGCCCCCCCCCCCCCCCAGTGCACAAATTTTTGTGCACCAGGCCTCTAGTAGATTAATAAGATTCGTTGTTAAGATGTCAGTTTCTCAAAAATGAGAGCGTCGGCCTGCGGACTGAGGGGTCCCAGGTTCGATTCCGGTCAAGGGCATGTACCTGGGTTGCGGGCACATCCCCAGTGGGGGATGTGCAGGAGGCAGCTGATTGATTCTTCTCTCTCATTGATGTTTCTAACTCTCTATCTCTCTCCCTTCCTCTCTGTAAAAAATCAATAAAATATATATTTTTTAAAAAATGATCTATAGGTTTAGTGCAATCCCAGTCAAAATCCCAGTAAGTTATTGTTTGGATATTGACAAATTGATTCTAATGCTTATATGGAGATACAGAAGACTCAGAACAGCCAACTCAGTATTGAAAACCAAAGCTGGAGGAGTGACACTACCCGACTACATGACTTAGTATAAAACTGTAGCAGTAATCAAGACAGTGTGGTATTGGCAAAAGAAGAGACAGGTAAGTGGAACAGAATAGAGAGCCCAGAAATAGACCCATGTAAATATAGTCAACTGATACTGAATACAAGTGGTGAGAACAGGTATACTTGCCTTGAGAGAATCAGTAGGAAGCACTTCTGTTAAAAAAAAATACTCTTGGGCTTTATTCTTGGACATAGGTGAGTTACTTGAAGATAATTTGATCTTTTTGATATTTGCTTTTATACTTTAAGTGAGACTGGAGTGGCCTTTAACTTATGGCTGATTTTTTCCCCAGTAACAAGGATTTTTCTTTCTAGCTGGTGGGAATACCAACTCCTCTTCCTGCCCGTCTTCCCATGGGTAATTTATTCAAATGTATGCACCAATCGGTGCTCTCCTGAAGACTCAACTTGAAGCCTCTGCAGATCTCCAGGGCTTATTTTGTGTAGTTTTCTCTAGGATTTTGCCCAGTGAAGCTGTCTTCATTTCCCTGAACTCTCAACTCAGACTGCTGGTCTCAGCCTGCATCCCATGCCCTGCACTGGAAACTCCCCCCAGGCAGAAAGATGGGCCAATCATAGAGCTCATATTTCCTCTCTTAGAAATTACTATCCTGCATTGCCTCTTGTTAATTATCTGAAAGTCATTGTTTCATTTATTTTTTTCCCCTGATTAAGGCACTGTTTCTCTATGTTGGCCTGAGTTTATGTGCAGTTACCTTAGAGAGAGTTAGCTGGCCTCATTTCATTTATCTTATTTTGCCTAATTATCACTACCACCAAATCAGAAGAGAGAAAAGATAAGGACACCAATTTACTTCTTTTCCTCTGGAGTATTTGAGACTTCTCAGAATTTTGTGAATTCACTAGTGTGATTTCTGGGGAGCTGGAGATGGGCTTGTAATCATGAATATTTCATCCCCGTCCTGTCGTCCCCCCCCCCCCTTTTTTTTTTTTAGCTAAACATTGATTGCTGCTGTTGATTTTCTCCCTTCATTGTTTTAACTGATTTTATTAATTTTGCTTGACACGGGGGCAAGCACTTTTATGTTAGACTTTGTTCAATCTTTACCCAGATGATACTAAGTATCCCTTGGTAATTACCTTAACTTCAGTTCTTTTTCCTTTTTGAATGGATAGAATGTAAATTTCCCCTCTGTCATTTTAAACTAGACTTATTTTTAATATTCTTTCCTCAGATACCATGTTTGTGTGGCAGTGCCCCGTGTTTGCTGTGCCGATGCTGCCCTAGTGGAAACAACTCCACTATAACTAGGCTGATCTATGTATTCTTCTTGTTTGTTGGAGTGTGTGTAGCTTGTGTAATGTTAATACCGGGAATGGAAGAACAACTGAATAAGGTCAGTATTTTTTTAAAAAAATTAACTGAATCTATAGTGTGTGTATGCATGAAACTGATTTTCTTTTTTTGTATTGGAAGCAGAATAATGTACAAAGTAAGATAATACATAACCTCAATTTTAATTGCTCATAATCTTAGGAAAAACAGACAATATAGGCATCTTAATAAATTCTGTGGTGGTGATATAGAAAATGTGCTATGCTAATAAGAGAAAATAAGTAATTCTAACCAAATAAATGCCAATTTCAGTGGGTGTCAAGGAAAAGGGGCCATTCTGAGAATGAGTAGAACTTTTATATTCAGAGATTGAAAAATAGGAAGCTGAATGAAGATAAAGAGCTTTTTGAACCTAGTATGTATGTATGCTTTAGGAAGATCCATCTGATAATTAGGATAGAAGTCAAGCAGTTACGTGTGGAGGCTGTTGCAGTGATGTAATAAGTGAGTGTATAGAGGTTCTGAAACAGACTGATTGTAGAAATGATGAATCTGGATTTAAATATTGGCAGTGATAGGATTATAAGTAATAGCAAGATTCTGGTCTTAGACAACTGGCATGAAACTGTTGCTGTTAACCCAGAAAAAAGTAATAAGAAGAAAGGGTGTTATATTTTTAAGATTTTTTTCGTGAAGTCAGGTTGTAAAAAGCGATGAGGAAAATACAATTTATTATAGTTTGTGGCATGTTGACTTGGGAGTACTGAACTACATATGTAAAGAGAGAGAGAGAGAATCAGTAGGAAGTAGAAAATATGAGTATGTAACTTAAAAAAGAAAGGGGGTTCGTAGAGAAAAGGGAACCTCTGGAGAAACAGTGAAAAAAGGAAGAACCAAGAGAATGTCCTGTTGTGCAGTCTTCAGAAAGAGAGTATTGGACAACGAGTTCATGAGTTGAAAAAGCAGTTTCTTCAGTGTTGGGGCTAGAGGGGAATGGGAGGGGAATCAGTAGGCCATGAGGAAACATATCCAGTGTGTATAAAATGTTGATTTGAAGAATTTTATAGTGAAGATGGTGGTCTTAGCAGGAAACTGAGTTAAGGAAAGGATTTTTTAGAATGGGGAGATTTAATAATTTTTATTTTGAGAGTAGTCCAAGATAAGAGATCTCATCTGTGTGTGAGAAAGAGGGAGAGGGAGAAGTGATCAAGAAAGGAGATACAGAAGTTAGCTGCCTTCCAAAGCAAGGTGAATGATAATAGAACATTTGATGCTGAAAGAGAATATTTATGTCAGAGAACCTCCATTTCAAAGCATATAGTTGTATGCTTGGGGTTGGCTTTGGGGTGAGGAAAAAATGGTAAAAGTTTGGATAATTAGATTATTATGATTTTTGAAAGTAGCTAGTATCATAGCTGGATGCTCAGTTAATGTCATTCTAAATCCTGGGTATAATAAGCAAACCAAGAGATGTTCATATGATTTGTAATGGATCCAGTTGACAGTGGTTATAGTAGTTTAGTTAGTGGATGTTAGTTCTTATCACCAAATATTTCTACTTCTCTGCTTTCCGAAGGTCATCAAAGATTTGCATTTCCTAGAGTATTTGTGATATGTAGGGTCATGTCCCTAGTACTGGTCAGTGAGTTGTGAGTGGATGTGATACACCTCAGCTTCTACTTGCTGATGCAAGATCTCCTTTCCTATTACAACATGTGCAACATTTGAGATGGCTTCTCCAGCAGCCTGGATTCCTGAGTTGACTGCACGTGAGCAGGAAATATACCTTTGCTGTTTTAAGCTGATACTTTGGGGTTGTTTCTGTATGTACCAGCTTAACCTGACTAATATATATGGCTGAAGTAAGTTGATGGAAATCGGCCTAGTGGCGTACAACTCTAAGGGAGAGGGATATTTAAGGGTGCTAATGAGTACATGTTGCAAGTAATTATGGGTCAGTACATATTGCCATAAAGTTTAAATTGGGTTGGAAAGGTAGGATTTAAACCAGACCAAGAAAGAGCTTATTAACTGTGTAGAAACTAGCAAAAGGAAGTAGTGCCTTCTTAGCTTAAATGTGATTTTAAATTCTCATGTATACAAATAGTGTGTATAGCTCTGAGGACTACTCCCATTTATTTCACTTAAATTTTTATTTATTTGTTTATTTTGGTATTCTGATTCCAATGTGTCTTTTGGAAATGGTCATCAGTCTTTTTCAAGATTCTAAGTTAAAAAATAAAATCACTGCCAACGATTATGTTATTTTGAATTTATTCATTATCAGAAATAACAGTTGTTATTTACATAGCATTGTTTTTAAAAAGCCATCAGCATTCTCTTTAGGGTTTAAAAACTGACTCAGTTGCTCTGTAATTCTTTAAACTTTTATTGATTTTGTTTTTCTCTTTTCCTATATAGGTAATTTAGTATATCACAGCAGAATACAAGTTTTAAAAAATTCAGAATAAGTCTGCAAGTCAAAATAAATATTATCTTTAGGATTTGCACTTATAGTTTATCATGTGCTCACATAAAGTGAAAAATGAATTAAACTTTTATCTATAAAAATGTTCCAGACTTACCTTGATTACATATTCAGCATTAACTGAAAAGCAAACTTTAATTTTCTAAATTTTTACTTAAAATACTTGATTATACAATTTTTATTTTTACTTGAAAAAATTCTAGATCACAAATTCTTGTTTTGTTGTATTAGATTCCTGGATTTTGTGAGAATGAGAAAGGTGTCGTCCCTTGTAATATTCTGGTTGGCTACAAAGCTGTATACCGTCTGTGCTTTGGCTTGGCTATGTTCTATCTTCTCCTCTCTCTATTGATGATCAAAGTGAAGAGCAGCAGTGATCCTAGAGCTGCAATACACAATGGGTAAGTTTTTTAACGTAGTCAAATGCTGTTTAATGATGAGCTACATTCTGAGAAATGTATTGTTAGGCGATTTCATCTTTGTGTGAACGGCAAACATCATAGAGTGCACGTACACAAACCTGTATGGTATAGTCTGCTACACAACTAAGCTGTATGATGTAGCCTATTACCGTAGGCTATAAACCTGTATAGCATGTTACTGTACTTATTCATACTGTAGGCAGTTGTACATAATGTTAGAATTTGTGTATTTAAACAAATGTAAACAAACAGTACAGCAAAAGTATGGTATAAAAGATTAAAAAATGGTACAATTAATCATGAATGTAGTTTGGAGGACTGGAGTTGCTCAAGGTGTCGGAGTGAGTAGTGAGTGAATGTGAAGGCCTAGGACAGTACTGTAGATAAACTATGAATACTGTACACTTAGGCTGCACTGAATGTAAAATAACACGAGATTAAATCAAACATGAGATAAAATGGTGCAATCAAGAGACATGGTAAACATGAGAGATATGAGGCTGCTGCTGGCATAACACAACATACTGTTTTATAGGAAAACTTGTTTTTGTAAATAAGAAAGACTACAGTCTAAAATAATAAGTATAGCATTCCCTGAAACTAATATAATATTGTATTTCAACTATAATTGAAAAATACATTCTTAAAAAGTACATTATAGTAAATACTAGAGGCCTGGTGCACAAAATTTGTGCACGGGTAGAGTCCCTAGGCTTGGCTGGCAATCAGGGCTGATCTGTGGGGCAACCGGCAGGGTGATGGGGGGCCCCTGCTGGCACCCGACTTGGCTGGCCTGGGCCCTGCAGGCTGAGGGCAGCTCCTGCGTTGCGCATCTTCCCCCTGGTGGTCAGTGCATGTCATAGTGACCAGTCATTCCACTGGTCGTTCTGCTGTTTGGTCAATTTGCATATTAGGCTTTTATTATATAGGATATAAGCCAGTAATAGTTCTCTGTTAGCATTATCTAGTTTATGTGCTGTACATGATTGTATGTGCTGTACTTTTATACGACTGACAGCATAATAGTTTTGTTTACACCAGCATTGCCACAAACATGTGAGTAAGGTGTTGCACTACAATATTACCTCAGCTATAACATTATTAGGTCATATGAATTTTTCTGCTCCATTATGATCTTATGGAACCATTGTCATATAGGTTGTTGGTCTGTTGGTGACCTGAATGTTGTTACGTGATGCATGACTGTAAACTTCAATATAAAAGTCTGGGTAGCCTGTTGCCAGTAATTTTGAATCTGTCTAAATAACATTAAAGCCAAATAAACAATTTATAGAATATTTTGTTAGTTGTGAATGACAAAGTAAAAATATCCTCTTGTCTACTTGAGAATGTCAGACTTTGGAAACATAAATGTAAGCCTTCAGTCATTTATTGTTATAATCTCTGATACATAATGTTTTATATTTTCATCTTAAACGAAGTCACCACTTTTGTGACTAGTAATGAGCAGCTTATTCTTTTTTCTCTTCCTTGCCTTTGGTGTGTACTTTACATAAAGTAGAACTCAGTTCCCTAGACATACAATGCAGCCAAAATGAAAAACTTTATTCTTAAACACAGTGATTGATTACTTTTCTAAATGTTTGGTTGTACTGAACAACCTAGAAGGAAACTTCAGGGTCCCTTTTATTAGTCTTCTATAATATAGAACACCATTTCTGGTACTCTGTTTGAAAATGTTAAATTTTATCTCTTTTTGCCCCCCTTAAGTTAAAAAAATTTTTTTTGAGTATTTGCTATTGCTTATTTACTTATCAGGGAAATTAGTCTATAGTTTTCTTTTCTTGAGGTTAGGGTGGCATGCAGGCACTGACTGGGCTGGGCCTTGAGCTGGCGGTGAGCTAGCTGGTCGTGGCCTCGGTGACGAGGCTTCCCCTGTGCCAGCTGGGGCTCTGCGGAGCAGATGGCGGCTGTGCCCTGACTGCCAGCGGGGTAGGAAACCTTGTGGACCCACCCACCCCTACGCAGGGTGGATGCGGCCACAGCGGCGATGGATGTCCTACTGGAAGGGAACTTCTTGCTTTCTCTTCTGCCTCTGATGCAGAATTTGATGCTGTGGTTGGATATTTCGAGGACATTATTATGGAGTTCCAGTTATGACAGAAACATTATGGACAACTACTACCAGGAGTTGGAAGACACAGAAGAGAATAAACTGGCCTACATGCCTATTTTTAATGAATATGTTTCTTTGATAGAAAAGTATATTGATGAAGAGCAGCTGGAGCGGATTCCTGGATATAACATGGCAGCTTTCACAACAACTTTATAGCACCATAAAGATGAAGTGGCTGACGACATATTTGACATGCTACCAACATTAACCGATTTTCTGGCTTTTAAAGAAATATTTCTGGACTACAGAGCAGAAGAAGAAGGCTGGGGACTGGATTTACACAATGGTTTAGTGGTAACTTCATTGTGCAAATCATCCTCTGCTGGCTTTCCAGAACAATCTGTGGTGCTATGTCCCACCTCCAGGCAATGAGATTGTTCTGGAGAGCAAGTAGCCAAATATACTGAGAGAGGCGTCGGCTAATGACAGAAGAATACATCGTGGAAAGACTAGCTCTGTTCTGCAACTCTTCATTAATGTTAAGTATTGATGGGTCACAAAAACTACCTGACTTTTCCTGGGACCTAGTTATCCTGAAGACCCTTGTGTGTCCGCAGCCACCTCTCCCAGGGGCTTTGAGTCTCAGGCTCCTCTGGAGCAAGCCCACATCCTGCATTCCCCCTGGGCGCCTTCCACAGCATACACGGTGGCGTGTCAGCAACCACCATCACCAGCCCTCTTTGTTCCAGAAGGCTTTGCATGAGTATTGTGCACTCAGCTTTTTATATGCATTAAAGTTTCAGTTCTCAGTGGAGTTTTTGACTTGAGAAATGTTTATGTGGATGTTCCTGAAGCCAAGTGCCTGCGTTGAGATTTCTGGAGCTCCTGTTATCACAGCTACTCTTGGCTGGGAATCAACTGAGCAGAGATGTTCTTGACCTAAATGCTACATGTGAAAACCAATTCCTAGTCTTATATTTGCAGTCCTTGTATCATTATGTCTTCTGCTGGTCCTAATGAAGTCCCACTGTTTCCAGAAATCTCTCAAGCATTTTTGAAAAAAAAAAAATTTTTTTTTATAGATGAATACTCAGCCTACCCTAGTAGTTACAATCTTGGAACTTCCATGATTACTCCCTTAAAGAAGTATTACTGTGTGCTTTTTAAAAATATTTTTTTATCGATTTCCGAAAGGGAGAGGGAAAGAGAGAAATAGAAACATCAATGATGAGAATTATTGATTGGCTGCCTCTTATACATCCCACACTGGAGATCCATCCCACCACCTGGGCATGTGCCCTGACCAGGAATCGAACTGTGACCTCCTCGTTCATAGGTCGACGCTCAGCACTGAGCCATGCAGGCCAGGCTGTGCTGTGTGCTTTTTAAAGCAAAAATGCGCCCTAACCGGTTTGGCTCAGTGGATAGAGCGTCGGCCTGCGGACTGAAGGGTCCCAGGTTCGATTCCACTCAAGGGCATGTACCTTGGTTGTGGGCACATCCCCAGTGGGGGGTGGGTAGGAGGCAGCTTATCGATGTTTCTCTCTCGTCGATGTTTCTACCTCTCCCTCTCCCTTCCTCTCTGTAAAAAATCAATAAAATATATTTAAAGAAAAAAAAAGCAAAAATGCTTTTTTTTTTTTTAAATTTTGGCACTCCTGTTTTACTGGGCACTGGTGAATGTGTGCTTATGCTGAAATATAGTAACAGGTATTCTTATAGCATGTGAAATGTTTGTGCAGATTTGCTTATAACCCTTTCTGTATAAATCAGTTCTTTGTTAGGTATTCCTTTAGGGTAGGGACTCTGCAATTCTTTCTTCTTGTCAAAACCTTTCTACTAAGACAGTGTTCCACTGGTCTAGTTCAGCATGAGTTGAAATAGCAAACAGTTCACTGGTCATCTGTCTGCTTTGATTTAGTATATTGGCTTAAGTAAAAATAAGAATCTGTACTGACTTTTCACTTGGCTGTTCTGGTTTTAAAAGATGAGCTACAGACTATGTGTTTTTGTACAGTTAACGGTGCTTACTACTTTTGTACTGTGAGTTAAAAGAACAACATCAAAGGCCCTGGCCAGGTAGCTCAGTTGGTTTAGAGCAGGGGTCCTCAAACTACGGCCCGCGGGCCGCATGCAAATACAAATATTGTATTTGTTCCCGTTTTGTTTTTTTACTTCAAAATAAGATATGTGCAGTGTGCATAGGAATTTGTTCATAGTTTTTTTTTAAACTATAGTCCGGCCCTCCAACGGTCTGAGGGACAGTGAACTGGCCCCCTGTTTAAAAAGTTTGAGGACCCCTGGTTTAGAGCTTGTCCTGATACACACCAGGTTGCAGGTTTTATCTTGGGTCAGGGCAAAATGAGAAGCAACTAATGAATACAAACATAAGTGAAACAACAAATGTTTCTCTCTCAAAAATCAATCAATAAAAAAACCCAGTTGTATAATGTACATTATATTTTCACATATTATTGCACTTATTACATAAAATAAACCTGTGAAATGGAACTGGGTCTCATTTTATTGTAATGAATTAAATATAAAAATATTTTCCTTAAAATTGTCCTAAAGCAGTGTACATAGTAGTCTTCACTTCTCATTCTCTGGATATCATCAGAAAAAAATAGAACAGTAACATGAAGTATAGCTATTCTTCAAGGTGCTTTTAAAATATTTTATAGATGACATTATTTATTGAATGACTTGTTTATTAATAAAAAAATCATATTTCCTATTCTTTTATTTAGATTCTGGTTCTTTAAATTTTCTGCAGCAATAGCAATTATTATTGGGGCTTTCTTCATTCCAGAAGGAACTTTTACAACTGGTAAGAAATATATATTTTTAAAATTGTATGATATTGATATTTTTTAAAGAAAGTTAAAGAATTGCCTGGAACTATAACTGTTTGTTTCTTTGTTTTGTTTTCCTTTTCTCCCAGTTGGCAAAATCAAAGCATTTATGTAAAACTAGAGGCCCAGTGCACGAATTTCGTGCGGGAGGGGCGGGGGTGGTGGTGTCCCCCTCAGCCCAGCTTGCACCCTCTCACAATCCGGGACCGCTGGCTCCTGCCTGCTTTCCTGATCGCCCCTAACTGCCCCTCCTGCCAGCCTGATCACTCCTAACCTGCCTCTGCCCGCTGGCCTGATCGCCCCTAACTGCCCCCACTGCCGGCCTGGTTGCCCCCAACTGCCCCCGCTCCCCCCCACCCCCGCCGGCCTAACTGCCCCCCCCCCCCTTGCTGGCCTGGTTGCTCCCAATTACCCCCCCCCCCCCCCCCCCCCCCCCCCCGTCCTTGCTGGCCTGGCTGCCCCTCACAGCTCCCCCCGCCCCCGCTGGCCTGGTCGCCCCACGCAGCCTGCTGTTAAGTCATTTGGTCGTCCCTCACTAACCCCCTTGCCGGCCTGGTCGGCCCACGCAGCCTGCTGTTTGGTCGTTACTGTAAGGGTGCCCTGGCCAATTTGCATATTACCCTTTTATTAGTATAGATTGTATTTCCCCTTTTGTGTATTGCGATAGTGACAAATAATAAAAACTGAATCAGCCACTTATTAGTATGTTTTTTTTCTTTCAGTGTGGTTTTATGTAGGCATGGCAGGTGCCTTTTGTTTCATCCTCATACAGCTTGTCTTACTTATTGATTTTGCCCATTCATGGAATGAATCATGGGTTGAAAAAATGGAAGAAGGAAACTCAAGATGTTGGTATGCAGGTAAGTTTTTGTCTCACAGAATAGCTTCAAGATAGCTTAATTTTGAAGATGGGAGCAGTATGAAGTTACCTCAAAAAAGTAAAAATGGAACTAACTGCCTTATGACCCAGCAATTCCACTTCTGGGAATTTATCTGAAGAAACCCAAAATACTAATTCAAAAGCATATACGCACCTCTATGTTCATTGCAGTGTTATTTACAATAGCCAAGATTTGGAAGCAGCCCAAGTGTCCATCAGTAGATGAGTGGATAAAAAAACTGTGGTACATTTACACAATAGAATATTACTTGGCTGTACAAAGGAAGAAAATTTTACTCTTTGGGACAACATAGATGGATCTGGAGACCATTATGCTAAGTGAAATAAGCCAATCAGAGAAAGAGAAGTACTATAGTATGGTTTCACTCGTGTAATGTAATGAACAAACTGAACTAGCAAGCAGACATCTCTGATGGGTGGGTGAAGGATGCTAGGGGAAGAGGGATTGAGCAAAAAAAATTAAAAAAGAGAGAAAGAACTCATGGACACAGCCAACAGTGTGGTGATTGTGGGGGGTAGAGTGGAAGAGGCTATAGGGGATAAATGGTGATGGGGGAACATAAAGATTAAAAAAATACCTTAAGTAATATTCCCCTTCTAGTTATTTTTTTCTGTATTTTGAAAATAATTTTTAGCGAAAGTTACTGTTTTATAAGGTCTGTAATATAGTTAGCACTTTTTTTTTTTTTGGTCTGACCCCACTGGTCTATAGCAGGTACACTGCCACAGTGGAGCAGACAGTTAAAAAAAAAAAATTTTTTTTTTTTTTTTCAGAGAGGAAGGGAGAGGGAGAGAAACATCAATGGTGAGAGAGAATCATTGATCAGCTCCCTCCTGCACAACCCCACACAGGATCGAGCCTGCAACCTGGGCATGCGCCCTGACCTGGAATCGAACCGTGACCTCCTGGTTCATAGGTTGATGCTCAACCACTGAGCGACACTGGCTGGGCTAGTTATCACTCTTTCAAAACCATCATATTTGCTCAACCACTAAGCCACACTGGCCAGGCTAGTTATCACTCTTTAAAAACAATCATATTAGTATGTTACTAACTTGAAAACCATAATAGCAGTGAGCTATATGTAAAGAGTGTAAGATTATTCTGTAATAAAGTTCAGGATAGTATTTCCTCCTTTCATAGCCTGCATAATGCTCACAATTTTAGTTGCTTAAATATAAGTAAAACAAGGTTAGGCAGTTTCTAGTATTTGTGATAAAATCTAATTGTCCAATTATATTTCTTCCACAGCTTTGTTATCAGCTACAGCTCTGAATTATCTGCTGTCTTTAGTTGCTATCATCCTGTTCTTTGTTTACTATACTCATCCAGCCAGTTGTTCAGAAAACAAAGCATTCATCAGTGTCAACATGCTCCTCTGCCTTGGTGCTTCTATAATGTCTATACTGCCAAAAATCCAAGTATGCTCTTTATATAATTAGTTTGTATGAAACTTCTACTTTGCTGAGTTTTTCTAAATCTTAGATGATCTTAGAACATTTATATCCATTGCTTATTTTTGTAGGAATCACAACCAAGATCTGGTTTATTACAGTCTTCAGTGATTACAGTCTACACAATGTATTTGACATGGTCTGCTATGACCAATGAACCAGGTATGTTTTGTTTGCTTGGGTTTATTTTTTTTAAGCAATCCTGCAACTTTTATTTTTTCCAGAGATGGTCATTTTGTGAAATTAAGCTATTTAAAGATGAAGACAAATGCATGATTTCACTCACACATGGAATGTAAAAACAACAAAAGAACAAACTCATAGAGACAGACAACAGATTGGTGGTTACCAGAGGGCAAGGAGTGTTAGAGGAAGGGCGAACTGGGTAAAGGGGATCAACTATTATGGTGGGTTGCGAAGACAGTTATTCCTAGAGGAATAGAGTATGGAAATGATACCATTTCCATGTTTGATGTATTGCTACATACTTTTTAGTTTCTTTCACTAACAGAATTATAAGAAATTACATGAACATGACAAGAAATATACCTAATTTGCACAGTGCATATGATAAATAGGAAGAAATAAGATATGGATTTAGTTGAAGAAGCAAAATATTAATTCCGTTGTAGACAGTACAGTTTATTTTCACTGAAGATTTTTTTTATCTATTACTACCTTGCAAGTGAATATAATTGAGCTTTGTAATAAATCTCTTTATAGGTCAGTTACATTGCATTTCATGGGAATAGAAGCCAATATATGTCATTTGAGGTAAAAAAAATGGTTGAGGAATTACTGTTTTCTGAAAAAAAACAAACATTTTGTAAACTTCACTGAATACTTTACCAACTCTAATTTTATCTTAGAAGAGTTAATAAACTGAATAAGCATCAGGTCATGATGGCTTAATGTATTGGCACAAAGCATTTGCTAGCATTCTAATAATTGGTATTATGTGTAAGCTATTTCTTTTATAACAATGTACTTTGACAGATTGGTAAACTTCATAGTCACTATTGGTATATCACAATATAGAGTAAAAAGCCAGTGAACTTTGGTGTAAAACACCTGAATTCCTAAGTCAGCTAGAGATTCATTTATACTTTGAGAGCTTACTAATATTTTTCAGCTCTGCTTGAGGTTGAAAATGAAATTATCTAACTTTTCCAAGCACTGCTATAAAATTAACAATATAAAACTTGGAAGGTTTCATTATTAATATAAATACAATGTCTTAAAGTATTTTTTGCCCTTTTTCAGAAAACCTTTTTGAATTTGTAAGGGTATAGAGAATTAAAAAGAACAATTATACCTTGAAAAATAATGTTTTAACTGTTCTAACAAATTAACTCAGATTGGTGGTGGGTACTAAATTGAATATTCAATTAGGTTATAACCTTAATTTACATTGCAGAAACAAATTGCAACCCAAGTCTGCTAAGCATAATTGGGTACAATACAACAAGAATTGTCCCAAAGGAGGGAGAGTCTGTCCAGTGGTGGCACGCTCAAGGAATTATAGGACTAATCCTCTTTTTATTGTGTGTGTTTTATTCAAGGTAAGAAAAATTACGGAATTTTTTTAGACAAGAAGTCTATAGATATTCATTTATAAATCATTTTTTAATGCCCTTTTTCTTCTCTCTTCCTAAACTGTCTTTCCATTCAGCATCCGTACTTCGAACAATAGTCAGGTAAATAAACTGACTCTAACAAGTGATGAATCAACATTAATAGAAGATGGTGGACCCAGAAATGATGGATCACTTGAGGATGGAGATGATGCTCACCGAGCTGTAGATAATGAAAGGGATGGTGTCACTTACAGTTACTCCTTCTTTCACTTCATGCTTTTCCTGGCTTCCCTTTATATCATGATGACCCTTACCAACTGGTACAGGTACATATGTTTTGTTAAACTTTGCATGTGGAAATTCTGATAGCTTTTTCTTAATTCCATTGCAAAATATGGTCTGAAGTACTTTTTATCCTTCAATGTATTTCAAAACTATCGCAAAATGAATATTGAGATTAGTGTGTGAAATGTACTTTACTTCCGTGCTTTTGTGATAACATTGAAATACTTCCAAATCTTGTAGATTAAAATATTATCTTTATTAAACTAGTATTTCCTATAGAAATACATGTTGGTAGTTTATCCAATAGCTTGTTATTTTTTAAATTCCCGACAAAATACAGTAAAAGATATGTCTTCTGGCTTGTTCAAACTTTGTCATTAAGGCTTTAAAATTGAAGTGTGAATACATTAATGTAGATGGTTCCATAGGACTTCTTCAAAACTAATTTATGCTTTTTTTTAATTCATAAATCATTTTCTGATGAGAGGAAGGTAGCAATTTATATTATTTTTGAAAATTCAAATTTTGTCCAAATGATTACTGAAAGATTTGATCTAAGATTCAAGGTGAACTATATATTTTGGGCAGTTGTGTTTTTAATAATTTTTAATGCATTAATACCTTTAACTTGTAATAAGACTTTAAATACCAGCAAAAAAAATGAGAAAAAAATTACTCTGCTTCATTTCTTTGAGAGCAGCCTTTATTGGCACTTACTATTAAAAAATGAACATTTAAAAAAATTTCTACAGTGCAACATATTAAGTGTAAGAATCCACATAGTTCTCAGTAATTCACAGCTTTGGCTCGCAGGTAATAAGAGTAAATTTAAAAGACTTTAGATCAAAGTATACTTGCTATGTTTCATTAACACAAAAATCAGCTAGGTTTGGGATGTATATCCTTCCCAGTCTTAAATCTTAGAGGGGGATGAGGGAGGAGTGAGTTCCCCATATGTGCTTTGAACATATACAGGATTGATATGTCTTCTGTGTTATAACATCTTACTTAGCTAGAGGTTTTGCTCCATTTCTCTGCTGTCATAACCACTAAGCTAGAAATACACAGAAAGCCTGTTATGTAAAAAACTACTTTAGATGCCTGTCTTTTACTCCTTTAAAGAAAATTATTGCTTTTTAGCTTCACATTATTAAAGTTAGTACGGAAAGCAAGGCAACAGATTAGTCAGCAACTATAGGATCTGTTATCACTAACTGTATACAAACAACACTTCTGAAATAATGAGGTAGCTTGATGGCTGACCATTCAATACCTCTCCTTTTTGTTTTCTTTCAATTTCAGGTATGAGCCTTCTCATGAGATGAAGAGTCAGTGGACAGCTGTCTGGGTGAAAATCTCTTCGAGTTGGATCGGCCTCGTACTCTATGTTTGGACACTGGTGGCACCACTTGTTCTTACAAATCGTGATTTTGACTGAACAGGACTTCCGGCATGAAAGTCCCAGTTTGATCATTGCTTATTGGAAATTAATAGTGTTTCCAACTTTCGTAAAGTTGTGTATGTGTGTGCTTCCCATACAACTTCTCCAGTGTTCTGGCATGAGATTTTGCTGCTTGCCATTTTATTCATTGTATTCTTGCCAAGTGCATTGATAGGTGTGTTAGAATGAATCACAGAGGTTTTATGAGTATGGTGGAAAGTTAGGGAAAGTGGACATTAGGTTCATCTTGTTCTGTACCTGTGAAAATAATAGTAAAAAGAAAACTTGACAATTTTAAATTTTGTTAGAACTGAAGCTGTATCTTAGAAAGTATAAAAGGAAGTGGCTGCCTTTTGAAATACTTGATGCCTTGCCTTACAGGAGATTGCAAAGAATGTGGGCTATTTAAAAATTATGTAAACAAGTCACTTAAATGGCAGTTGTCTGAAAAATCTTTTCAGGTTTTTCCATTATATAAATATAGGAAACTTATACAGGTGGGGAGTGTTTGAGGGACAATAATGTAGGTTATGATGAAGATTGAGATTTCAAAGAAAGATTGGTGGTGAGCATTAAATTAAATACTCACTTAGGTTCTATCTTCCTTGGGTAGAGATGGCCTTCCACACCAACAGTGAACCTTGTTTTGGTCATTGTAAACATGTGCGAAAGTAAGGGGTTAATGGAGATGCTGGGAACTCTGAAGGATGTAGACAAAGGTTTTGAAAAGGATAATCATGAATTAGAAGGAAGTTGGTGAAAATCTCCTTGAAAGTTCATTTTGAAAATCAAAGGTGTTAAACTTTTGACAGGACAACAAGAAACTGCAAATACTAGGCTTCAGTAGATACTTTGACAAAATCTAGTCCAATCCTCCTGTTTTAAAAATGAAGCAACTGAGGCACAGACTTAACTCAGATAGCTAATTAGTGGCAAAGCTGGGAAGTCCTAAGCCAAAATAGCTGACATTCAAAACTTAATTCTATTAACAAAAAACAAAAAGAAAACACATTACAGATTTTACACCTGAGTACTGGTAGGTAATTTATGTGATGTGGATTGCTGGTGTCCAGCTTGCCTTCTACTTTTAAACTGAGGTCACGAGAATGATAGAATGCTGTACAATAAACTGCTTATAGTATACTATACAGTTCAAAAAGTGTTTAAAATGCTTTTGTATCTGCTGCCACCTAATTAATATGTATAGGTTATTATAATCTTAAAAGTCAAGCAGTATAACAGCCAATTAGAAACTTAGTTACTTGTGTCATTAGTGAGTATATTAATCTATATTTACTTCTTTTAATGTTTATTAATTTAAATGAAATACAATTCAACTTAATCCCCCTTTATTCTGTATTGATATTGTGTTCCATGATTTGACTGACTGTATTCTCTCTCTAAATAAATGAATTAAGAGAAATGCGTGGTGTATTAATTCTTTATCAGCTCAAATTTAGGTGACTTTAATACTCAGACCTGTGTTCCTCCTGTGTACAAAAGAACCTGGCACTAGAGCAGTGATGGCGAATCTTTTGAGCTCGGCATGTCAGCATTTTGAAAAACCCTAACTTAACTCTGGTGCCGTGTCACATATAGAAATTTTTTGGTATTTGCAACCATAGTAAAACAAAGACATTTTTAAAAAAATTTATTTTATTGATTTTTTACAGAGAAGAAGGGAGAGGGATAGAGAGCCAGAAACATTGGAGAGAGAGATCGATCAGCTGCCTCCTGCACGCCCCCCAGTGGGGACGTGCCCGCAACCAAGGTACATGCCCTTGACCGGAATCGAACCTGGGACCCCTGAGTCCACAGGCTGACGCTCTATCCACTGAGCCAAACCGATCTGGCACAAAGACATATTTTTGATATTTTATATATTTAAATGCCATTTAACAAAAATCAACCAAAAAAATGAGTTCATAGGTTCGCCATCACTGCACTACAGGGTTAACTGACCATTTTCTCTCCTGAAAAATTGTTTTAAAGGTGATATTTACTCTTTTTGTCCTCTGAAAGTAACCCCTACCATTAGATCTCAAAGGTGATTAAAGTTGGGTTCTCCTGAAGAACTTTTAGGTGGAGCAGCTTAGTTTGGAGAATATTTTTAATTCTCTTGAAAATTCTTAATTCTCTTGAAAATTCTATACTTGCTGTATCCTCCAGGCATTTTTTTTCCTAAGTTGCCATTTGATGATTCTTTCTCTTATTCTTAGGGTAGTATTTTTTAAGTCCTTTGCTAAAAAAATAAAATGCTCTATTCCATATGAATTAGAAGTTTTATTACATTTTATTCAATAACTCATTTGAAATGGTCTGAGTTTCTCCAATATTATACACAAAACAATGTCTACAAAACTCTTGGATGTTTACCCAGAACTAATGTTCACACAAAAAATTACATAAATATTCATAGGAGCCCAACAGGTGAAGGTTTAAACACAGTGGTACATCTGTATCATGGGATACTTTAAAAAGAGTGAACTACTGGTACAACTTGAATGATCTCCAGGGCAGTATGCTGGGTTATAAAAACTAATCCCAAATGGTCACATGTGGTGTATTTATATAGCATGCTTGCAATGATAAAATTGGAGAAATGGAGGACAGGTTACTCGTTCCCCAGAGTCAGGGATGAAGGGATAGAGGAATCCTTGTGGATGGGTTAAGTGTTTAGTTTTATAAATTGCCAAACTTTTCCAGAGTGACCGTAGCATTTCATAGTCACACCTTTGATTTGTTTGATTTCTTTGAATTTTTGCATTTGATAGCACTTATTTTAGCTGTCCTGAGAGAAATGTGGCATCTCATTGTGGTTATAATTTGCCTTTCCCAAATGGCTAATGGACAGTATCTTTTCATGTGCATATATGCCATCCATGTGTCCTCTGGTGAAATGTCGATTCATGTCTTTTTTGCCTTTTTCTAATTGGATTGTTTTTTTAAATTTGTGTTGTTTTTTATATATTTTAGGTACTTGTACTTTATCAGATATGCAGTTTGCAAATATTTTCTCCCAGTCTGTAGCTTTGTCTTTCCATCTTAACAGGGTCTCTGCAGAGCGAAAGTGTTTAATTTTGATTGGATTCCATTATCCTTGTCTTGCTGCCCAGTGACATCTCTAAAAGCATCCTTATTTACTGGGCAAAAGCTGTTCTCCTTCACCCTCAATTTTCTCAGATATATATATATATATATATAGCATAAAGAGAGCTTCTGTTAATTTTGTAGTTATTAGAACCAATAGGATACATATATGGAAGTGGCTCACAGATTGCAAAGCTGATGGGTTTAAAATCTAGCTGGCAGACAGAAACACATAAACTGACGTGTGTAAGGCAGTGGCGCCATGGCCACTTGGGTTGTTTTTGAGACAGCATGGAAGATACTGTTGGACCTTTGGGCTCAGAAATGTTCCTTTGACATTCCAATCTAAGTTAAGGTTAATGGTGAAAAGTTAACATTGACAGTATGTACCTTGACATACATTGAAAATGGCACTTCACCTCTGTAGTCTTTCCCAAAACCTAATAATCCCAGTCTAACCATGAAAAAACATCAGGTAACCCCAAATGGGGGGACACTACAAAATACCAGGCACTGTTCCTCAGAACTGTCAAAGTGTAGCTTATTTGTATTATAGTCTGTTTGACAGCAATTTCTTGAAATAGGTTGATTTTGCTCTATTGCCCAATGTGCAACCAGTTCTCAAAAAAAAAATTCCTATCTGTTTGAAACAAAGGTCTAGGTGCTAATTCTTAAATGTAGGATTCTGTACATGTTCATCAAACGTCATACAACAAAACCAACTTTACCATAGACTAATTGATATAAACAATGGTTAAGTTCATCTGGCATATTTCTGTTCACAAAAACATCACCAAACTTCTAAATACCCCAAATACTTCTAGTATTACACATAGAAATGTGTTCTATACATACATTTAAGAAAGATTAATAAAAACAAGATAATTATTTTCTAGTCTGCTTATTCCAGTTCATGTGCAGGTGGCCAGAGCCTATCACAGCAGCTCAAGGCTCCAGGTGGGAACCAAAGTTGGACAGGACACCCTTCCATCACGGGGTACACTCATACCCACACTCACACTCACTCTACTGAGACAATTTATTGACAGTGATTAACCTCACGTTCATATCTTTGGGACATAGGAGGAAACGAGTCCTAGAGAAAATCCACACAGACATGGAGAGAACATGCAAACTACACAGTGGCCCCAGCTGGGAACTGATTTCCTCATCAACGTTATCACGAAACAACAGTGAATGACGTAATGGAGGACCAGCTGTAGCGACACACCTTGAAAAAAACATTTAGCTCTCTGTAAGTTACAAGCTACCTCCTATTTTATCTTTTTGAGGTAAAAGAAAGTTGGAGGGGGATAGAGATGGGAGTTACCCTCTAAATTAACTGTCTTCATATAGTGGTAATTTGTTTTCCAAGTAGTACACAGAGACTTTCTCTGGTAAACACAAACCAAATTATTTTTACAGGAATCAGTTTCCAGATCTCCAATTTTCATGTGTACCTTCCTAAACTTGATCTGCCTGAAAAGATGCCTCAGGACAAGGCTTTATCCCCCCTTAACAATTATTCTTTTCACATTAGACAAAATAGATACACCTTCTATCCATTCTGAATCTTAAAATGTCAACTTAAAATTACTAAGGGATATAAAGTTTTCCAAAATCATTCTAGAATACTTCCACAGCTCCAAAATTTCCCCAAGGAGAAGAAACTTGATATCCCAGTGAGGAAGGGAAGAGAAAAAGAAAAGGTCTCTAAAGTTCTCTCTCCTCTAAGTCAACTCTTTTCACCTGAAAACGTCTAGAAAGCTTATGCAGAAAACTATTCTGAGGTCTTCAATTAGTTCACTAAGATCCCATTGTCTGAGCCAAATATTTTAGAATCTTCTAAGAAAGGGTTTTCTATTCCTCTGTGCTAGGCTTTACTTTGAATTTTTGCATCATAGCAAGGAGAAATTCCAAGATATCAAGAGACAGAATATGGCCAATAGGGAATCCACCTGTGTAATACCTCATTAAGTAGCCCCATAAAATATTCAGGCACCATACTGCTTCCAGCCCCCTGCCTGATCTTCAAGTGATAAAAGAGATGGCCTTATCTTGCACTAAGTGTCTATAATCCTCTGAGCACCTGTTCCAAAGAGACAAAGTGACCTTTCTCTCAGAACAAAAATTATCGGCCCTTAGTGGCATCCACTGATAATGTTCTTTACTCATCTGGAACAATGAGAGGCATAATTCTCTCAGTTCCTTATTAGAAACAGAAAGCAAGCCACTATAATTTTTAAACAAAGAACTATAAAACATTAAGTTTAGAGACTTTATATTTCTCCCTTTTTGCAATACAGTCTATCTTTTGAGATGAGGCACAAAGATCATGATGTAACTCATAAGAAAGGACAACAAACTACTTCGTATGAAAAGGAAAAAAAAAATGGTTCATGTGGATGTCACCTCCAAAGAAGACACATAATAAACACTAGAATGCAACATTCATTATATTTATTTTACTAAATATTATGGTTCAAAAAACAAACCAAAAACTTTTACTTAAAACTAGTCCAACTAGGTGGATTGGGCTGACACCATCCCATCCCCTTCTAGGTAGGTATACAGAACTGGAACCATATCAGACAGCAAGCACTCATGTATACTTTGCCTTTCCTGATGAACATGAATGAACTTCTCTGAACCAAGAGAGACAAATGAAGTTTTACAAGATACAGGCACTTTATGTTCCCAGTTTTAAAAATAAGCCAAGTGAAAAATACTTAGTAAAAGTAATTGGAACAGAGAAAGCTTTAGGAGTTCTACCATTAATTTTAGTGACTTACACTCAATGCCAACAGACAGCATCAAACAAGTAAAACAAACAAAAGTTTAACCTGGGTTAATGGGCATATATATAAAAAATAATTCAAATTTACTACAATCAGAAAAATATGCCCACCTGAATCCAACTTAAAGATATGCAATAATGTGCATTACACTCTGTGTACCTATATAGCTGAGTAATACCTGAAAGCTTTGCAAGACTGTGTGCTTAGTGAGAAAAGCAAAAGGTGCTTTTGATTCCACAGTATCCAATTAAAACAAAACAAAGCAATTTACAAAAAAAACGGGTACCAAATAATACTTTAAAATAAATAGTTCATCATTTTGATGAATATATACATGTAGAGTCCACTTCTTGGAAATTTAGCTATCTAAAAGTGGCATATCACTATCCAGAGGTGCAGGAGCCAGTTCACATAAATAGAACAGTGTGGCTTCACTAGCTTCGGCTTCAGTCAACGGCTCCAGGCGAACAAGCTTACTTTGGGTTGGTTCTGGTTCCAGGCTGCTATCCAGAAGCTCATCAACTTCTATGGGTTT